CAGACTGCGGACTCCCTCTTTTTGAGGGCAGGTCTCCCTTGTTCAAAAGTTAATTTCTACTCCTGCTACTGCATAGTCTAAACTACAGACTGGATGCAGCATGTACCTCCATGAGCACCATAAGCTCCCATTGCCACTGCTATGGCTCCAGAAACACCAGCAAGCCTTACAAAATTACGACCTGCATTTCCAATTTGAACAGAACATTCTGGCCCTAGCCACCTAGTTACAGCATTCACTTTTGCTTGACAGCAAGGCTTCATTTTCTGTAGAGATAGAGGATAAAGACGTGGCGTGGGCGAGGCTCGGTCTGTAATAAATGAAAATTTGGATAGAAAACAAAAACAATTAACATCAATAGTACGTATAATATTCACTGGCAGCAAGAACAAGTCGGCACCTGCAGCTACAGCACACACGCGGCCATTGACTATATATATATATACAACATGGTGCTTAACTCGCCGCCGCACAGACCACAACTCACCGTTTTCAATCAGTTACAACTTACAACTCCGGTGTTCCTGCAGGTGACGCCACTTTCCAACTATCGTTGGAATCGCGGAAGACTACTGAACAAGCTACACCCGCTATTTTTGACAATCGGCCCACTAGAATGCGCTCAAATCACAGATATTCCTCAAATATTCATGCGAAACCATCCTTCGCATGCTACCAGATAAAAAAGCGGCATGCCCAACCGCTGGCGGCTGCGCTGATTGGCCATGACTCACCCGCGATGTCAACAAACGTAGTTGCACAGCCTGTCTGCATGTTAAACTTGCTGCAGCCAATCAGCGCAGCCGCCAACGGTTGGGCATGCCGCCCTTTTGCCTGGTACCGCATGCGAAGGATGGTTTCGCATAGATATTTAAGGAATTTCTGTAATTTGAGCGCATTCTGGCGGGCCGATTATCAAAAATGGCGGGTGTAGCTTATTCAGCAGTCTTCCGTGATTCCAACGATAGTTGGAAAGTGACGTCACCTGCAGGAACACCGGCGTTGTAACTGATTGAAAACGGTGAGTTGTGGTCCGTGCGGCAGCGAGTTAGGCACCATGTTGTATATATATACGCGCGCAGTTTTTGCGCTGCGGTGACTTTCGTAGTAAATAGATTTTGTATTTATTTAGCATTACATTTTATTGAAACGCTGCAAGTGCATGCTTGTGTGCCTGGCTGCGGCAGCATTGATGCATGTATATAAGATACCTTATTAACCCGTGGCGGCGGAGCGAGCAAGAGAGAGAGAGAGAGACAGAGAGAGAGAGAGAGAGAGAGAGAGAGAGAGAGAGAGAGAGAGAGAGAGACAGCAGGAAAAAAATATAGGCGTTCCGCCTATTACAATAACTAGCCTATCACCGAGAGACAGAAATGTGCATTTCTGTGCGTGCAGATCTCAATAATTGTTATTCAGCACAAGCAGTCTCACTTGTAAATCTGCTGATAAAGCCTTGCTGGAATGTCTCCTGCGCCAGGAGCAGAATCACTCCAAGGCCTAAGACGAGTCGAAGGCTTGTCATCTGTAATAACATCAACGATTATAGGCACGCCCGACAGAAGCGCAATGAAATCTCGCTACGTTTCATAGCATGTTGTTTACTGTCAAACAAACAATACATCAAACAAAATATCTGTCAAATCTATAGGGGCGGAACGAGATTTGTCCAATCTACCTACACAGCACGGGAACACTACTTGCGATGCCAATCATTTCACAACGCGTTTTCTTACTTGTTTGATGAAATAGCCATAGAACACTTTACCCAGCAAGCAAGCTGATAGTAGCCCAATATTGGCAAGACAATAAATTATTGGGTCAATATAGGCGAGCCAATATAGGTCCAATAATGATATGAGTATAGTTACTAAGTTATACTTAAGTGATTACGTCACCGTAAATAGTAAAAAGAACAAATATATTTCCACTTTTTCACAAGATATAAGTAATTCTGTTCACTTTTTATGGTTAAATTGCTGCATTATACTTCTTGTTTTACTATATTGTTCGATGTAAACATACACTCGTGACTCATACATGCAAGCAATTAATGTTGGGAATAAAAAATTGTTAATATCAAATCGTCCAGGTTTTTTGGATTTTTAACTAGTTGAGAAACAATCTTATCAGGTAAGAATTTGACGATACGTTTAGTCCCGTTAGTTCTTACTTTTAATGTAAAAAATGGTAATATTTTTTTTACAAATTTTACCACAGAAAATTCGTGACGTAGTCAATTTAACGTACGTAGGTTTTGTAAGCCTACATCACTATAGCCTCTCTTCATTTTTCTCACATATATATATCGAAACATCGATCACGAATTCTAGACATTTACCCTCACAATCATTTCACCGCATATACTTCTCACCTTCTCAACGAAAAACTGCAATTACTTACGGTTTCGCTGCGCTGTCACAATATTTATATACAGATATATATTCACTTGTCTTTCTCCACGATTGAAAACGTCGGCACGCGGTCCGTATCTCACTATTGTCGACACGCGGTTCGTATCTCACTACCGTCGGCGGCGGCGGCTGGTTTTTATACATGACGGGGCGGGCGGGCGGACGGGACACGGACCACGGACCAGTCACGGACCACGCGCTCAAGGGCGTACCGCGCGCGCGTGCGACACACTCGGTTCAGCATGACGGACGGCAACCTTCCAGGTAGATGTACGCCCGAACGTACCTGTGTTAATGAACCTATGTGCGTATGTTCGTTTATCGTCTCTATCTAGATCGCACGCCTCCGATAACAACGTCGGCGACGACAACAATAGCGGGAATTTTCTATAGCCGCAGACAAACACAGCGGCCCTCGCCATCACGCACTCGCCTGTGCGTACGAGGGGCACGGACGCCGCGGATGTTTACAATATAGGGCCTTGAGGGAGATCAAGGCCCCGACTAATGTCGGTACACCCACTCACTCACGTTCAGTCTGGCCGTGGTCCGGTCGTATAATCAACGGAGTGACACCAGCCCCATCCCTTCGTCCCTGATCATGAGCGACCTCACTCACGTCCGCAGCTATGTTCGTACGCCCACGACGCGCGAACATACCGTGAACTTCTGATGTGAACTTTGCGTGACGGTGACGGTATGTGGCACTAACTTGCTCGCTATCGTTCACGTCATATCGTGTAAATATATCAGGGCCGTACGTATATATCCGGAGGTTGCAATATGCTCGATTGAGATGCAACAACGTCATCGATCCCTTGTCCAATGTGATATTCCCACATCCTAACCCTTCGGTTTATTTCTTTTTCCGCTAATTTATTAATTGTTTTTTATATAGAACATGCTAGGGGTGTGGGTGGGGTGTGGTGAGGGAATGGGTAATGTATGTAACCGGATTTCATTCATATATACCGTATATATATATATATATATATATATA